GCCTGGAGCACTTCATTGGCATCTGCCTCGTATTTTGACGGAGTGAGGTCCAACATCACCCCGGCTGGCATGCATTCGGCCATCCATTTCAGGGGTAGGAAGAAGACTGTGTTTGACAGATGGCGGTAAGAGCTCATTCCTGCACAGCTCTCTTGCACTTGGATTTACCGAGACATGAGTATCATGGATATAGTCGACCCACCTTGCTTGCTACCGACGAGGAAAAGGAGTATTGAACTGGGAAAAGAGCAAGCGAGCAGCGACTGGTTGGTGAGGTCGATTGTGGTGGGCGCTCGAAAGTAGGCAGCGCAGTCTGACTAATCCACCGTAGTGAGTACGGAGAAGCATTTATAGATGGAGTGCAGTGACAGCTGCTCTTCATCTGCGCCTTGTCTGGCAAGTCTGGCTTTCTCTACAGCTGGTTACCCTTGTCACTTCAACTCCGAAGCTCGTTAGATCTCTAACAATCTTCTCTTTTCACTCTCCCCTGAATGAAGCGAAGTCGATCCGATGCTCCACGATGCCGCCGGAGTCCTCCCAAAGTTGCAGCTAACGAACGGCATGCCTAGGAACAATGCTGCGCCCAAGCGGCGGAGCTCCGTCACTTTCCCACCTGCCGAACTCTCTATGTACCGAGTATTGTAGGTGGGGTTTGAGATGTGGATCAATCCAGGACGACAGTAAAAGTACACCCCTGGGCCCCGACAAAGATGTGTCTTGTTTGTCTACACAAGGAGTCACTGCAGTGTGTTGATTCTGGGCTTTGGCCTGGCAGAAATCCCTGGTCGAGCAGTACTTGATCGTCACAATTGTCGCCAGGCTCTTTTGCAAAATGTCCAGCCAATCCCAGCAAGGCCAGGATGTCTCAGTCCAGATAGGCAACTTGCAGGTCCAGGGGCTGATCAACAAAACCCAAAAGGTTGCAAATTACCTTGGTATCCAGTATGCGACCATTCCGGCAAGGTTTCGCCAGTCCAAGCTCGTGGATCTCTCAGAACGGAGTGGAGTCCTCGATGCTACTCAATACGGACCCAGATGTCCCCAGATCACGGCAAACCGACCGGAAACGGCCCACCTATATGAGGGTGTGCGACGCAGTTCTGAGTATCCCGTGGACGAATTCGGATGCTTGAGGCTCAACATCTATGTTCCCAAGGGTAGCCATGGTCCGTTACCGGTGTTGGTTTGGATCCATGGAGGAGGATTTGTGTTTGGAGACGGCAACTCCGAATTCGATGGAAACTACCTTGTCGAGCATGCTTTGGAAAGCGGGAAGCCCATCATCTTCGTGGCAATGAATTACCGACTCGGATTTTTTGGATTCCTCGCTTCCGAGGAGTTAAGGGCAGAAGCGACTGCGAGCGGCGAAATTCCCTATGCAAACATGGCAATGCATGATCAACGGGTCGCCCTTCTGTGGATACAAAAGCACATTCACTACTTCGGCGGGGATCCCTCCAATATATGCATTGCAGGTGAATCAGCAGGTGGGTGGTCGGTCCTCGCTCACCTGCGATCAGACGTGCCGGTGTGTCAGAGAGGCATTATCTTGTCGAGCCCGAACCTAGATTTTCCACAGCCAGAAGAGGCTCAAGCCTCTTTTGATGAACTTGTCGCCAGCACGGGGATTTCTCCTAACGCGTCTGCTGAGGAGAAGCTCACTGCCCTACGTGCCTTGGACTCGATGGAAATAGTACGTCTGATGCTTCCGCGTTTCGCCACACCACTCTGGGACGACAAATGGTTTGTGTATCAAGATGGCAACAGGCCTATTGCAGGCCCTGCACCCTTCGCGCCGTGGGTTAAGGGCGTTGTTGCGGGATCCACCAAGCACGAAGCAGCACTGTTTGGGGCCATTCAATGGCGAACTTGGTCGTCCCAGCAATTTGTGGACCGTGTGAAGTCTGCTTTCTCGACCGCCGAATTAGCCCAAGAACTCATGGATGCCTATGGCATCTCTTCAACGGCGCCAGCCGAGACATGCCTCGAGGGGTTCATTGCTATGATTACCGACAGCATCTTCTCTGGGTTGCCCTTTATCATTGCTGAAAACCCCTCGGAATCCTCACCAATCAGTCTCTATAGGTTCGAACAGACCGACACCTTCAGCCAAAGCCCGCTCAAAGGATACGCATATCATGTGCTGGACAACTCGTTCTTCTGCCGACTACCAGCCGTTGCGGGACCCAATGCCGATCCGGAGGCCAGAGAAACAGCGAATAGACTTTCTGCGGCGATCATCGATTTTACACACGGATCACAACCTTGGGAGACGTACAGCACCAAGAAAAGGATCATGGTGTTCAACGGCACGAAGAGCGGCATTGTGGAGGTCAAGGAAGAGGACCGTTGGAGGCGGGTTACCATGTCGGGCGACCTGGCCAGGGCGAAAGGGACGTGGAGGTCTGGAAACAAACTGGTGGGCATCCGGCATAGTTCGATGGATTGAGCGTGAGTGGGTAGATATGAGCCCGACGACACCGTGATGATTTCTCTATGGCAAGACAGTGGCATGATTATGTGACGTTGTTACGGATTGACAGAAGGACACAGACTATAGCTCTGGCTTTTTCTTGCCATAGCTGTCGTACCAAATGAAATGCCATGCGATGCGTGCACAGACCTACGCCTTGCGCTTGATTGCTCCGATCTATTCATTCTTTTTCAACGGATTCTTCTTGCCCCAAGGCCACGCCCTCTCCTCGGGCAGCTCGCGGGCGATCCACCTCAGAATCGCTGCGTTTGTCTCCTGCGGCGCCTCCAAAGCCACCCAGTGACCGGCACCGATACTCACCGTGGTCAGCCTCCGACAGTAGCTCTTCATGGGGTCGCAGATGGTTGAATTGTGCGTGCCGACGACGGCGTCATTCAGGGCCTCGACGAACAGCACGGGAACGGACACGACGCCCTCGTTGACGGACCAGTCCTCGCACCACTGCAGGTTGGCGTCGTCGTTGAGGTTGTATGCAGTCGGGGCCCAGAATCCGCCGCTGGTAAATGCTTCGACCAGGGCCTTGTGCGTCTCCTCGTCCACCAGACTCTCACCCAGATCCTCGGTCTTGGGGAGGGATTCGGCACCATCACCATCTGTGAACCAGCCGCCGTTCTTGGCCACGTTGGCCGTCAAGGCCGGTTTGTCCCTGTCCTGCTCGACGTCCGCGTCCGGGCGGCGCGCGTAGACGAATCTCAGGAATCCCTCGACGTGCGTGTCGAAGAAGTCGATCGCTTTGGCGTAGTTGTCCGGGTCCTGGTAGAAGGTGTGGTGCGACCACTGGGCGTGCGGGTACTCGGCCTCAGGGTAGAGGTCGCGGTTCGCGTACTTGAGGAGCTCGGGCACGCCCATCTCGAGCGTGCGGTAGGGGACTGCCATGGCGACCACCCCGAGGCAGACTTCCGGGTTGTGCGCCAGCAGCGCCCACACGACGCCGGCGCCCCAGCCGTGGCCGATCCAGACGGCCTCGCTTCGTCCCACGTGCCTCAGCAGCTGCAGCATCTGCGCCACCACCTTCTCCAGCGCGTACTCGCCCTTTTCCTGCCTCTTCGGCCCCGACGCCCCGTACCCGGGCATGTCGGGCGCGACAACGCGGAAGCCCAACACCGAGAACCCCCGCAGCTGCGCGGTCCATGTCGCTGCTATGGCGGGCCAGCCGTGCACGAAGACCAGGAGCGGGCCATCCGCGGGGCCGGCGTCGAGGTACGAAATGGTCTTGTCGTACTTTGTGAATTCATGCCGCGAGATCCCTTTCTCTGCCGTCGGGGAGGTCGACGTCGACGTTGTTGTTGTCGATATTGGTGGTGGTGGTGGTGGTGGTGGTGGCGGCGTCGTCGTCGTCGTCATCACGATTGTAAATCCACTTGGGTTACCACCACGGCTCTTGGGGGTTGATTGTGAATCTTAATCAATCGCACGTCTGCTCCTGACTGCGGAAGAAGGATCGAGTGTGTGGTTTGAGGGAGGAGGCCTTATATATACCGGTTGACATTGATTCTGTCCTCAATGTATAGTAGAAGTACGTCTAGGAAACACCCTTCTCCGCCATCTGCCTCGTTAGCGATATATAGCACACGGTACCCTGTCAGAGGAGACATGCTAGTCTCCAGACTCACCTGCATGGGTATTGCCCCTCTGCTAGGTAGGTACATACATATAGAGGCAGGTAGGCTGTTAGGTAGGTAGGTAAGTGCATTACCTCCCCGCTCGACCGACCCCATGCCCAGCTCGCTTTTACAACGTTGGAATGGGGCGGAGTATACGCGAAGACATCTGACAAGGTCGCATTGCATGGACGGAGTATGCGGGCATGTACTCGGTAGGTATCCCCAGTGTCCCCAACAAGTCTGACCGCGTTTCCCTTGACTGCGGGGACCCCGCTTAGGGAGGATGTGTTCTGTGAGATATTATCAACAGAAAAAAAATCCAAATGCCGAGAGGGTGGGAGAGGGTGGAGAAGTTAAGATAATTGTGGAATAAGGGATAAAATCTACCTACCTATGTACTTAGCCTGAAGATAGATATCGCTAGGCGTGAATATCTGTTTTCGTGCCCCCGGAATCCAGCCCTCTCTGCTCGCAAAGGACAGACACTCCACGTGGGCAAACGAGAGGAATGTTTTGCTTTCCTTCCTACATCTTACCAGATGGCTCCATCTCTACACTTTACGACACAATCTTGGTTTACAGACGTCACAGGAAGATCTATCTCGAGTTCAGAATAGAAACAAAGTGACCGAGACGGTGGTTCTCTATTCTGTGTCCGTGTGATTGCCTCTTCATGAATCCGAAATCATTTGCTCTCGCGAGTAAACATGCTCGCGTGCGTCCTTTCAAGAGAAACATCTACCCCGTCTATCGCAGGGGTTTGATCGGTGTCTGTCTGGTGAACCTGACTTTTGCCAGTAACTGTCCATGTTGAGGTTCATTTCTCCTAAGCCTCAGTCCGTCCATCATCTCCGCCCAAAGTCATTGCCATCAGAATGCCGGTCCTGGGTCTCTCGCACACTTTATGCGAGTGAAAAGTTCTTCTCCTTCTTCCAACCCTCAACCATCAATACCAACGTCTTTGTCGCTGGCTTTTCCTGCATTTCTCTCGGCAGTGTCCGTGGAAAGTCGACCGCTGCCTGTCTTAACGCGGCAATGCCCGCGGCGCCGAAAAACAACACAAATCGTTCGATCGCATTGTTCTCGAGCATGCTCTTCAACAGCACTAGATGGCTGGTCTGCACCTCTTGTGGAGGCGTATTGGCAATGTGCGCGAGACTGGCCCAATAGTGCACCGGTGGCCAGGGGTTGGAGACTTTGGCTTTGGAAAAGTTGCGGAGAGCTATCGACGCGTAGCCCACCCCCAGTCCTGTGAGGTGGTCGTAGTGCTTGTTTTCATTCACAAACGCTTTCTTCGAGTCGGGGTCATCAGTGATTCTATCAAGTCGCCACCCGAGTCGGTGTTTGCCCGCCGCAGTGGACTCGCGCCCGGAGATACCGAACAGAATCGGGGCCGTCGCGTGGAATTTGCTCATGAGTATGGAGATGAGCGAGACACTGGTTGGCTTGGAAGGCTGTGACGGATCGGCAGTGGATGGGACATTTCGGGGGAATTGTAGCTCAGGCATCGAGAAGATCTGGGCAACCAGTGTGCCAATGGGTTCGGCAGCCTTGGGGTTGACCGCACACTCACCAACGAAACCACTGATAACCGCCTTGCTGAAGATGGAGAGTAGGTACAGCGCCAGGGATGGGATCGTTGTCGTACCATTGTCCCCTAGATTGAGATGTGCTGGTAGGTACTCGCTGACCGATACGGGAGGCGAGGGTCGATCCCTGAAAGCCTGTTGTAACGTGAATCTAACGCGGTCATGCTGCCATTGTTAGTCGGAGAACCTGGTGGATCGAGGCAATATACTCGTCACTTACTGCCTTTTTGTTTCCAACCTTGTCATCGGTCAATTGCCCTACGCTGGTTCGAATTGCCCTTCGCATGTCGCCTACATGAGGCTTCAAGGCTGGATCCTTCTTAGCCGCGACCCAGAAGTCGGAACGGAACTTTTTCAGCTTTTTGTGGAGAACCAGGTAGTTGGCATGTTGTACCTCCACCTCCGAAGCTGGATTGATGCCTCTGTCCTGAGTACGGGCAGCGGGTTGCGGTGGTGCAGCTTTGACCGGTGCAGCTTTCTCGGCTTCCTGTCTCCGCAAAGCAGCTTCTTCCTCGGCTTTAGCTTGCTCCTCTCGTTGCCTTTGCTCGGCTGCTTCCTTTTCCCTTCGTTCATTTTCAGCTTCTTCAGCTTTTTGTTTTGCTTGACGCTCTGCTTCAAGGCGGACACGCTCTTCGTGTTCCAGGCGCTCTTTCTCTTCACGAGCTCTTCGCTCCAGTTCGGCCCGTTGTCGTTGACGTTCCTTCTCCTGGGCCTGTGCTCGTGCCTCTGCCTCTGCCCGTCGCTGCCTTTCCTCCTCCTCTACCCTCCTTCGCTCTTCTTCCTCACGTCTCTGACGATCCTCTTCCTCTTGCTTGATGTAGGCCTGAAGAACAGCCTCGGCTTGTTTCCGGACAATTTCATGCTGAGCTTTGGCGGCATTGAGTTCTATTCGATGAGCCTCCGCTTGTGCTGATTCCCGAGCGTCGAGCTCTTCCTGCTCTTGGCGTTTCTGGTAGGCATGAAGTTTGGAGCGTTCAATCTCGTGCAAATGAATTTGACTGAGAGCACGTTCTAATTCCCACTGTAGTTGCCTTGATGGGCTGTCGTCGGTCCTTCGACCTCGAGGACTGTCTCTGACTAAGGGCGATGAAGAGTGAAGCCTCGCCTGACCCATTTTAACGACACGTGACTCTGAATTTTCCGCTGCCACCCCAAGTTGACGCGCTCAAAGAATGTTGGGGAGACAAGACACGTGAATGGTGTGTTCAGAGTATCTCCCAGTCTTAGACGAGGACAATGGCGGAGACGAGCAGACAGCCTTGAGACCCGGTTCACAAATATGGAGGGTGGGACGTTGGGGCCGATCTGGACACACAAAAAGCGCGACGCGAGGGTTGTAAGGAGGTAACAGCAGATAAAAGTTCTATGCCGAGGTCAAGGCTGACACTCTGTCCAAGACGCGTTAATGCTTAGTCCATCCCGGTAGGATAAAGATAAAGTACTGTTCCGGTCGAGGTTGAAAGAGCTCCAGGTCTGCGTAGCGTCAAAGGAGAGTCGCAACAATGACGGGAGGCGTGGTAATGACGGCACCGAAGGTCGGACAAGGGAGTGACAAGGCTAATTGACGATAGATGGAATGTGTGAGACGTGAGCACTGCTGATGCCAGAGTTTGAAGTTTCATGAGAGGAACTCTCAGTGAGAGGAGCACAGGTGCACCAGTAGTGCAAGTCGGGGACTCGGTGACAAGCTCCAGTCCAGAAACTCCGACAAGGGTTTCAGTTTACCCATAAGGCACGCATGGTGGAGTGGTCTAGGTGCCACCCAGCTGGCCCTCGCCCGGGGGATGTGCGCCAAACCCGCCAGGCCCCGAGGCTTGCCTAGTTGATGGGCTACTAGCCGGTACTAGGCCCGCCCATGGAGCCAAGGGGGAGCCTGAGTCCGTGGCCCATTACCGCCCGCAACATCTCTTGGCGCTCCAACTGCACCTCCGGAGGCGGGCGACTGTAACATGAATCACATCCAAACTGCGCTTTGGGAGAGGATTCATACTCCTACTCGTAAGACCATCAGGAGAACTAACTGCAAACCCCGTAGTCTGTGGTCCCTCTCCGCTTCTCGATCATCTATGAGTCCGAACACGAGGCTTACTCTCTGCCACTCCCAAGAAGGGAAAGGATATCAAAAAGTCATTTGTCCTCTATGATAGACATGGACTGAAAGACAGGGGCCAAAGAGTGATGACAAGCCCAATAGACATCGCCTATAGGGCAGTTCTACCATATCAAGATAGCCCCGTCCGCTTCACCACCGCATAAGCGAGTGAGCAGTAAGAACGTTAACTAGACACCTGTGTTTGGTGGTGGTGATGGTGGTGGTGTAACTGATAGTACCGAGTACTGGTAGTGTTGCGCCTGCAGGACTCTTCGAGGCCTTCACCAGCCTACGCCCACTAAAAAGGAACCACCCACCAATTACCCATACAAAGCCTTTACAAAAACCCATCCTTTCACCTTCTACTCTTCCCTCTTCCCCTCTCCTGCCGAGTTGCTTCTCTCCCTCTCTCTCTCTCTCTCCTCTTCCATCATCCTGTTCCTCAGTTCTGTCTTGTCCTGTCCTTTTCCACATCGCTTCAGCGTTCGCCAGACAGTCCTTCAATCCATCGGAGTCACTCTCTTGTGTGCTCTTATCCCTCTCCGCTGTGGGCCCCCGGTCCCCGTCCAGTTCCGTTTTCCTGTCCTTCCCTCGCCCAAGAAATAAATCTTACGTCGAATCGAGCCTGCCTTCCGCTACATCGACTTATCTGCCTGCGCCGTATTGCGCAGTTCTCGGTTACCATCACCCTCAATCCCCTCGAGTGCTTATTGCCATTGCGACAGTCATCAGCTCAACGCTACATCATCACCTTCGTCGAGCGATTCGCACCTTGTCACTGACACCGCCTTGTCACTCCACCACTCCATCCTGGCCCACAGGTCCTCGACTCGAGTGTCGACCGCAATACGCAATTTGATTAGGATTCGTGACCATCCTTCCTCCAACGTTTGAGAATCGCTGCATCTCCAAACCTCTCAGGGACGTCAAAATCGACTTCGGTATCCTCCTTGGCACCGTTCTAGGTGAGTTTCCATCCCCGTTTGATGAGCCTTTATCCAAGATGCTCTGCATCTTCCCCCCCTCCAGAAGTTTAATGCTTTAGCTTCTGTATTCGTGGTCTGGGTTGCATCCTGCTATATCAATTCTGGAGCGTACTGACATTTTAATCCATACTAGTTGCATCTTCTTTCCCTCCTTGTGCACAGATTCACTGAGGCAATATCGTTGCTTCACTCCTTTTCCCCTTTCGAGGGCCTCCCACAGGCTGGCCAGGCCTAAGCCAAACAAGAGCTAGGAACTACATTGATCTACCAAGTACATCTCAACCATGGCACAACCAGGCTCGTCTGGTGTGCCCGGCCCTGCAGGGCGCAGACTTCATATCGCCCATCGACGTAGTCCATCGGAGCTCACTCCGCTCATGATGGAACAACTGGCTCTTCAGCAACAAATCGAATTACTCCAACAGCAACAACAGCAAATCGCTGCTACTCATCAGCAGTATGTCAACATGGGCATGATTCAGCAACCGCTGCAAAGCATGCCTGCGTACTCTCCCATTCAAGGGCAACCCAATCTTTCGGGAATCTCGCCCAATAACACCAATTTTCAATTCCCCCAGATCCAGCAGCAGATGGCCATGCAGGGAAATGCCCCTGCACAACCCGGGGCTCACCGCAGAAATCAATCCGCGCTTCCAGGCATGGCTATGGGCCCTCCCCCAGCACCATCCACTGGCACTGCTGGTTCAGCCTTTGGCGACTTCAACCAGCAGGCAATGGGTCAGAATCGTGAGAACACCAGTGGCCGCGGAGGAAGGGGTGGCTCTGCACAAAGTGGACATACTCGACGCCATTCATTAGCTCTTCCCGAGGCAAAGAAAGCTGCTGAACTCGCAGAGAAGAAGCGGACTTCTGCTGGCTTTCAGTTCCCCATTCCAGGAGCTGGTGGTATCGCGGAAAGTCCTGTGGCTGCCACTCCTGTCGATGATAGATTGAACACGCCCGTCACCCCTTCGGGCCTGGGTCTGCAGCGTGCTGGCAATGCTCGTATGGTTGGTCATAGCCGAAGCCAGAGTATGGCGGCAGGAAGTGCTCGGGGTGGAGGCGGGGCTGGCCGTGGAGGCGGATCTTTTCAATTCCCAGCACAGGGTGATGCTGGCACAGGTAATCAGTCAGATCTACAGCGTCGTGGCAGCCAAAGCAACCACACAAGACAGGGGTCTCGCAACTTCGAGGGCAATTGGCGTCAACAGAATAATCAGCAGACAACTGATCAGTCGCCTCAACAGATGGGTCAATTCAGCCAACCGCAGGGTATGGGCGGTGGAAACTTCCAGCCTGGCCATCGCGGTCGAGGATCAATGAACCAGTCCATCGGCTCGATGAGTGGATTCCAATACCCGGGCCAGCCCCAGTTGCTGCAACTTCCCCAAGGCCAAATGATGATGGCACCACAGATGTTTGCTGGCCAGCAACTGAACGCTTTGCAGATCGCGCAGCTTCAGGCAATGCAAGGTGCACAGCTTGGTGGTCTTCAGGCCAGTCAGCACGCTCCCCCAATGGGCTTGCAACAGCAGCAACAACAGCGAAAGACTCTGTTTACCCCCTATCTTCCTCAAGCCACACTTCCTGCGTTGCTCAATGATGGCCAGCTGGTTGCGGGCATCCTGCGAGTGAACAAGAAGAACCGATCTGACGCCTATGTCACTACCAACGATCTCGACGCAGATATCTTCATTTGTGGTAGCAAAGACCGAAATCGTGCTCTTGAGGGGGACCTGGTTGCGGTCGAACTGCTTGATGTCGACGAGGTCTGGGGTCAGAAGCGTGAGAAGGAAGAGAAGAAGAAACGCAAGGACATTACCGACACTCGCTCGTCGGGGAATGCCCAAAACGGCAAGAGTGATACCGCTTCGACCACTGACAACACTTCGATTGCCCCAGATGGGAGTATCCGGCGACGTGGCAGCTTGCGTCAGCGTCCAACGCAAAAGAAGAACGATGATGTCGAGGTCGAAGGCCAGAGCCTGCTGTTGATGGAAGAAGAAGAGATCAGCGACGAACAGAAGCCTCTCTACGCAGGTCACGTCGTCGCCGTTATTGAGCGCGTCGCTGGGCAGATGTTCTCCGGTACACTTGGTCTACTCCGACCAAGTAGCCAGGCCACGAAGGAGAAGCAAGAAGCCGAGCGCCAGGCGCGGGATGGAGGCCATTCACGATCGGAATCTCGTGCCCAAGATAAGCCGAAGATCGTGTGGTTCAAGCCTACTGATAAACGCGTGCCCTTGATTGCTATCCCAACAGAACAGGCCCCGCGAGACTTTGTGGATAAGCACATGGACTACGCCAACAGAATCTTCGTGGCTTGTATCAAGCGCTGGCCGATCACCTCCTTGCATCCATTCGGTACTCTTGTTGAGCAGTTGGGTGAAATGGGTGATCTCCGCGTCGAGACAGACGCCTTGCTCCGTGACAACAACTTTGGATCTGACGAGTTTTCCGATGCTGTCTTGAAGAGTGTTGGGTGGGATGACTGGTCGTTGCAGACTGAGAGCGAGGAGAGCCTAGCCTCACGCCTCGACCTTCGCAACGAGCGAACTTTCACCATTGACCCTAACGGCACTAAAGAGCTTGACGATGCCATCCACATCAAGCAACTCGACAATGGATTGGTCGAGCTCGGCATCCATGTCACGGATATTGCCCATTTTGTCAAAGCAAATTCACTGGTCGACCGAGAGGCTAAGAAACGAGGGACTGGCGTTTACTTGATGACCAGGGCCGTTAACATGCTCCCATCGAAACTGTCTGCAGACATATGCTCATTGCTTCCAGGCGAGGGCCGTCTGACCGTGAGTGTGATCTTCAAAGTCAATTCTGAGACAGGGCAGATCGAAGGAGAGCCTTTCATTGGCAAATCGATTATCCAAAGCTCTGGCAAGCTCGGATACCGAGCAATTGACGCTGTCGTCAAGGGAGGCGAGCTGCCTGAATTGAACGGGCCCACAGCCGAGGACATCAAGACTTTGCACAAGATCGCCAGCAAATTCCGAGAAGCTCGTTTTGGCAACCGTTCTGCGACTATCGCCCCTCTTCGACTGCTTTATCAGCTCGACGATGAGAACATTCCAGTGGAGCAGAATATCTTCAACACATCTGCCGCACACGAGATCATGGAAGAGCTCAGCTGTAAAGCCAACTTCTTTGTTGCGCAGAAGATCTTCGCTGCCATGCCCGACAAGGCGTTCTTGCGAAGACAGTCACCTCCCAACCCGCGACGACTTTTGACGTTCGTCGATCGAATGACCCGAGCCGGCTATGACATTGATAGCTCTAGCAGTGGAAGCCTGCAGAACAGTCTCTTCAAAGTGGGAGATTCGGACTTGCGGAAGGGCATGGAAACTCTGTTGGTCAAGACTTTGCAGCGTGCCAAATACTACATTGGCGAACAGGTTGCGGAGGAGCAGCGTCAACACTATGCACTCAATCTGCCTCTTTACACCCACTTCACCAACCCTTCGCGCCGATATGCTGACATTGTCGTCCACCGGCAACTGGAGGCAGCTCTTTCCAATGGTGCTGTCGAATTCAACGAAGACATGGAGAGCCTGGCCAAAACAGCCGAGCAATGTAACAACAAGAAAGACTCTGCTCATTGCGCGCAAGAACAGAGTGTCCACATTGAGTCCTGCCGACTCATGGATAAGAAGAGCAAAGAGATGGGAGGCGACCTTATCAGCGAGGGCATCGTCATTTGTGTCTACGAGTCTGCATTCGATGTCCTTATCCCAGAGTATGGATTCGAGAAACGTGTGCATTGCGACCAGCTTCCTTTGAAAAAGGCAGAGTTCCGCAAGGACGAACGAGTGCTCGAACTCTACTGGGAGAAAGGGGTTCCGTCATCTGCCTACGTTCCTGAAGATGAAAGACCCCGTGCCTCAGTGAGCACTAGAGGTACAAACGGTGCAACCGAGTCTGCACGAGAACGGGCCAAGGAACGATACGAATCTCAACGCAAGCAGACGGACAGCAACACCATGTCAACCGATGATGTTGATGCGCTCTTTGACGACGACAGCGCATCGGAAATCACCGAAATGGCTGCTGGTGTATCTCTGAATTCGCCACTTGACCGATCGACTCAGAGCATGCCCCCATCCCCGGCCCGTAACGGTGGACTGAGCCAAGCACCAGCCCGAACACAATCCGAGTCGAAAATCGCAAGACCAGCTGGTGATATTCCAGAGCACAACTTGACCGACAAGGAGAAGTATCTCAGCTACTTCAAGCTTCGGGAGGAAGGAGGTGAATACATTCAAGATGTGACTGAAATGACTCGAGTGCCTGTCATTTTAAAGACTGACCTGACCAAGAGTCCACCGTAAGTGATGTGGAAACCCTCAGCTGCGCCTTACGGCTACTGACCTTTTGCCTAGATGCTTGACTATCCGATCCATGAATCCATATGCATTGTAATTAATGCATAATTATCACGTAATTACCGTCAGGAGGAACAGGTCAACACCAACTAGATGGGACAGGTCTTTATTACAGAATGGACAGGTCTATGAGATCCGAAATATCAACAACAAGGCGGCAGATATTGCAGACAGCAAATCTTGCATCGATTTGACTTGGAGCTGCATTTGGTAGCTGGAGACGCAGACAGGCGACGACCAGTGGGATTTGGGGAAGGCAGAGAGCGATGACGGCAGAATGCAAAACAACCCTTTGGGGCGATGGAACCGAGAAGAGAGACTGAGACTAGAGTCTGAGGCTGGACCTGAACATCGATTAAGAAAATATCCAGCATGTCCGAGTATCAGAAGAGCACGGGAAAACATCAGTCAAGGATCTGAGCGACCGGGTTGTCCGAAGAAAGAGCACGCGAACGAGGTGAGAAAAGGGCCCCAGATCGTGTGTGTCTTTGTTGAAATCAGAGTGCTTATCGAGCGTAGTATGAACACCAAAAAGTTTTTCTATGTTGATATTTTCTTCTGGTCGTCTGAATCGTCAATTCGTGTATCTCTATGCAAGTATCGTGAGTGCGCGTTGCGACTAATACATTTCCACCTCGTCGAGAATGTCGCTCAAGACATGTCCCCAAACCGACAAAACCTCAGCACATACTATCTGCGTGGCCAGGTAACAATGACTGCCCGAACCAAAGCCCTCTCGAGGAGCGTAGTGTAATAATGTGAAGTGCCTCCAAATCCTGGTTCATCTTGCACTCGTCACTCCCTGCTCCATGGCCACGGGGCTGTGTGTCATGCGGTGCAAGGCATGCAATCTATCGTGACTGGCTCACGCAAGACGCCCGCTTCTTCCCAGCAAACATACGACGTCGGTGGTGTGGGACCTCATGCGCCTTTGGTGATGCGCTCAAAGACCCCAACACCATATCGGCCCAAGGCCGATGCGCAGGCGACCGCCTCAGCACCGACCTTCCTCATCCTCTCCGCGCCGTCCTTGTCTTCTACGCCTCCGACGCCGATGATCATGATGCCCTTGGTAGAAGGGTCCCGGTCGAGTAGTTTCCGAAACGTGGCAACGTTCCCCAAGGCCAGGGGATGAAGCGCTGCTCCTGCCAAACCGCCCAGTCCGCTGCCCGCCTCGTTGCTGAGTGCCGGGTCGAGGTTCGAGTTGAGGAGAAGGCTGTTGCCCAGGGTATTTGTACATGTAATGAAGTCGATCACTGAACCTTCTCCAGGCTCGGAAGACTTCGCGTTGCGCAGAGAGTCCACAGCCATTTCGAATTGACCGGTATATGTGTACGGTGGAAGTTTGATCCCAACTTTAGGCACCGAATCAGGCGTGGCCATTCGTCCGCGATAGGTGGATTTCGAATCGCTTATTGCCTCGAGGTACTCATCCAATTGTTTCTTGTCGTATGCTGGTGGTGGAGCAGATGCGATATTGGGGCACGAGAGGTTGACCTCCATAGCTAGACGCAGATCTTCGTCCATTTCCGCAGCGTTGGCGATGAGAGCATACGCCATGGCGATTTCATCTGGGGTTCCCGTCACGGACAGGATGAACGGTTTCTTGGTCGGCGTGTCAGTACCCAGATGGCGCTGGCCAACAATTTCATTGATAATGCCAAGGTACTCGGAGAGAGTGAGCGGGGAGTAACCCAGCGTGTTGAGGGTTGATACAGGTTCTGACGAGTCGGAAGAAGATTGTTTCGAAGCCTCGCCCTTTGGAGCGTCGCCGGGGATGGTCTTGCCGGGCGTAAAGAAGATGTATTGATGGACGGAGTCGTCGTGAGTAAAGCCTTCGAGCAAGGAGGTTCGAATTGTCACGGCGCCTGTGTAGGGGGTGTCGTAGAGAGCTTTGATATCTTCGAGAGTCGTGGCCCATGGACAGGCGGAATTGAGGAGTGGTGGGTTGATCACCAATTTTTTGGCCGCCATGATTGAAGGATTTCCACAACTTTGCTCACTGAAGAGACGAGAGACAAGGAGACCAGCAGCCTCGTAGTATATCCTTCTCTTTCTATTTCTTTAGGTGTTTTGCTGCCTCTCTATCCCGGACGGCTTACCGCTTTCTCAGTTTACTCTAGAGGCCGACCGGAAAAGGCTCCAGGCTGTGGCGACACTCGTTGTCAGACTTGGGGTGCGTGTATCTTGAGGAGGTGATGCTAAGAGAGGAGGAAAGATGCGCAGTCGAGGACCAGTTTGCTCTTGTCACACGGCCAGAGCGATCGACATTGTACGAAAAACGCCCAACTCTGCCCTTCCTGCGGTCTCGTGGGGTAGAGAAGGGGTGAATGGGTCAAGGCAGACGCACACAACCCACAGACAAGAAAGAAAAAGCCAGCCAGCCAATGCTGCTATAATTATACCCGCCGCAGCAGCAGAATCATGATCATACGTGTGCCGCCTTCCTGGCGAGCTGGCTATGGAGAAAAATGAGGTGCGTGGCTGACTGGGCGACTCCGGATCTAGCACCAACCAGCAAATCATGAGGCCGCAAATGTCTCGGATCTGTGATAACATGTTTTGCAGGGCTGTCTACCGAAGGGGTCTGCGAGTACCGAGTAATACCAGACAAGTCAAGTCTGTGCCGCGTGTGGGTCGAGAATGCTCGTCACTCGTCTTCGTGCGTTTTTCGTCTATCATCAGGTTTACGTCGAGGGTAAAATGCCATCGCTCTAAAGACAAGTCCAACAAATCCGTGCCAGGCAGGAGTCAAGACCTTGAACTCTACCTCAACACCAGGCAAGCCAAGGCTAGAATTCCCTTTCGGACAGTCTCGAAATCTCTTGACCTGGTCTGTGTCGCTGGCCGGAAGAGGTGCATCCCCATGCCCTTGAATGTTTCCTTCTTACAGCTTCTGCATAGCCACGACATCGGTAGACTGAACATGATCTTCATCCTCTTCGATCTTCTGCTGCAGTTCATCCAGAGAGACCTTCTCGTCCTCGATAACCAAGTTGACCTGCAGCTTCTTGATACCGAAGCCAACAGCGACCAGTTTATGACCACCCCAAACAAGACCATCCTGCTCGATAGCCAACACATTTTTCACAAGCTCGTCCATGTCCGTCTCATCATCCCAAGGCTTCACATCGAGCGTGACGATTGACTTTGCGGCGGGCTTGGTCTTGCCCTCCTTCTTCTTCTTGTACTCTGCCAGTCTCTTCTCGCGTTCAGCCACGACCTCTGGATCTTCCTCTTCCTCGTCAGAGCCGAATAGGTCAACCTCATCGTCGTCATCCTCGGCCTTTTCGGGGGCGTCCTTGGGGTTTTGGGTTACAGCAACAGCCTCGGGGCCGTAGGTGGTGAAGGGCTTGGATGGGTCGCCAGGCAGCGTGGAGAAGTCAGCCTCGTAGGACTTGACGTGGTTGTACCAGCGGTAGGCATGAGGGTAGCGTTCAACGGGAGGTGCCTCTTTAAGAGCCTTGAAGCTCACGACGTCGGCTTGAGATGGCTGGAACCTGCGGAGACAGAGTTAGCGACCACGTCGAGCTTGATATCTTCTTGGACAAAGTTGTGTTTGTTTCTAACAAAACTCAGAGGTGCAAATGCATGCGATTGGAAGTAGTCATTTTGCGGTGTCTTAAGCCGCCTCATCAACACGGACCAATTGTTTCTCATCTTGGAAAGCAAAAATCAGGGGGTTGAGGCTGAAGAGAAGAAATCACGTACCCAGAAATGTATGAACGGGTCTTGAGCCAGTTGTTCAGGACTGTCATTGAGTCAGTGGCATGGTTCGGAGAGGGGTTCAAAGGGGGGCCATGGAACAAGACGTACGTGTGAGGCCACCGTCGGAGACGAAGTCGGTGAAACCCATCTTGACTGATGATTTGGATGCTTTCAGATAATTTGAGAGTGGTCTAAGGGTCTAGTGTGGTGGTGTTGGAGTGGTATGGGAGGGCGCAGTCAAAAATGAATCTTTGATCGATGCCCAAATTCAAAAAAATCCATGAGTCCGCCATGCCAAGAACGGATAATGCCAGCCTCGCCGCTTTTAGGAAACAGCACCACCTACATTCTATTAACCGATCTAGGACTTGGGCCAGAGGCACAGCAAATCAAATGACAATGTCTGACACCGAGTTGAAGCTGCACCCTCACAACGACCATCAGTGAGCTCACTTCCCGAAGGACCTATCACGCCATTGTTGCTTCCATATCCTGGTCCTAGAAGAAAGAGCGATATCCACCATGTAGGGAAAAGGCGAGAATGCCACCAGCTTCTGATTCGATCCAATCCTCTGAGCCGGCGTGGTATGCCTGCCGTCTCCCTTTTCACGCTGTCCTCTCCTTCACCACGAGGTGAGCAACCAGCCCCAGCAATGACTCATCCCGATCTTCTCGCAAAGTGCCTTGTGTTGCCATCTCCAGTCCTAAATTTGGCACGCTTTCGAACAACAATGAGCCACCTTGCACCCGCCGCACTTCAGCACTTTCTGGTGTTCCTGAGACGGATCTGTCACACCCCCAGCAACCCTCCACTCCCGGGTTGGAATCGGCTCCTCTGTCTTAGGCCGTGCTCCATGGATGAATCTCTTCGATGACCTTCTCCACCATAGGTACAGAGAAACTAGGAGAAATGGCCATGCGAACACAGTGCTTTGCCAGATGTGTCCATCCAGGCACGTCTGGCTTGTAACCCTGTGGAAACTTCCCCAGCCCGCACGAGCAGACTATGTTCCCGTCGACCTTCGGAGTAGGCACGGTAGAGGTACTCTGTGCTGTATATTCACACGTCGCAGTGTGCTCCCAATCACGACAGCGCTCGACAAAAGCCGCTGCGGCATTCTCCCAAAGTGTGCGGGTCGTACTATCAACTTCGTACGTAGTGCCGGCCTTCTGGATCTGAGCAAGGATCTTTTGTGCCTTGCGAGTTCCAAGCTCTGCTGTTGAAGGCAGCATTGCAGCGTCTAGAACAATGCTGAGGTTTGCCAGATCCAGCCGTAGCGACGAAATCACAACCGTCATGAACGGGACTTTTTCTCCATCGTACAGCAC